CCCCCCCCCCCCCCCCCCGGTTCCCCTCTGGTTCTTAATATATTCAGATTAATTGATTTATTTAAATAAACATTTAAATACTAAGCACTATTCATTATAGCAATTGCAGTAGCTCTCAGCTCATGTTTGCCCAGGAAATGGTATGCAATGATTTGAAGTTTCACAAAATGAGCCCTTGATATTATTCCCAGAGTCAGTGGCAAGTGTTCCTTTAAGCATAATGCCCTCCACAGAATCCTGTATGTAACTCATGGTGCTTCAGCCTTTACACAAAAAAGGCATTTCAAAGAATTGTTGCATTTTACCAAAGGGTAAGGATCTCAGCAAACTGAGTTACTACTTTATATACATATATTGCACTCACAAAGAACACAGTTAAAAGATTACTATTCAGCTAGAAAAGTCAAACACTTTTAAGTTAGGAATTCCAATATTCAGGATGCTGTGCTTGTGTATATGCATTATGATACCATTTTTTATTACAGTTTCTATATTATTTTTTTCCCTAGGATCCCCTGCCTCATTCTAGATGGACACTAGTCATTGAATGAACAGCTATTCAATATTTGTTTTCTCTTCATTGTTCAATGAAAGGGTCGCCCATTCAATTGGGGTTATCCTCCCAACTTATTATTTCCCACATGATAGCTAAGCCCGCTTCTGGCTAAAAATAGATTGTTTACTATTACATGGCGTTTTACTGTGGTTCATCATCATAGTATGTATGTGCTTTATAAACCTTAATTTTCAGTTTCACAACTACCGTTTAAAATGAGGGAGGAGGATATTGTCCTTTTATAGACGTAGAACTGAAACTTAGCGCGACTGAGCTGAAACGTTTCCATTTTGGAAACCTCCACACCCCACCTGCAGGCAGGCTACCTGGCCTCATGCCAAGGGTAAGAGATCTGAGCTGCCACCTGCAGCTCCTAGGGTCTCAGTCCCTTTAAAACCCTCTGTGCCCTGGCTGGGCACCAACACTGCACTACTTCACAGCAGGGTTTGGGGGGGAATACAGATGCTTGTTGCTCCATTTGGCAAAGAGTCTCCAGGGGCAACAGCTGTGCCAGCTCTTCTACACCCTCTCCTCCATCCCTCAACACAGCCCACTGGGAGTGCTGCCCTTTTATTCTCTCCCAGGGACAAAAGGAACCAACGGGAGGGTGAGAGGACTAGGTTCTCTCCCAGGTCCAATTCTTCACCTCACTCCTGGGTGGGGGTGGTCCTCTGCCATCACCTGGTTGGTGGGGAAGGAGAAATTCCCCCACCAACCAGTTTTGAACTTCAAAACCCATGGGCCAGGCTGTCACTGGGATGCCCCCCACTGACAAGCCCGTCACATCAAGTTAGTAACAACTATGCGAAATCTGGAATTCTGTGGCTGAGGAAAGGTTAAAATCCAGTTCTCCAAGGTGGCAGCCAGTTGCCTTCATGTGACATTTCTAGTATTTCAGTCCCTTCCTCAGTCATTCTACACCTTCCAGTGGCAGGTAGGAGCCCCAGTGCAATTCCTGGTTCACAACTTCCAGTATCTGCATCAGGAGGCATGGGGAGAAGGCCCAAAAGAAAATACTCTTCATCGCCATCCAGCCTTGTTTCATTTCCAGAACAAGCCCATCCTGGAATCTTTTAGTGGCTCATACTAAGAAAATATATTCAAGCTAATATATTTAAAGATTGCAGGCTGCACATTTAAGTTGCCTAGATTTCATTGAGTCCTGCCCCCCCCCCCCCAGCTCCTTGGCTTGGCAACGGGGGCTTCCTGGGTTCGGGGCAGGGCCCGGGGCCCCCTCACCCAATCACTGG